GGCGTCGCGATTAAGAAACAAACACAAACACTTCTCACCTTGTTTCGTTTTTAGATTTTATCTTATTCTCACCAAATAGAATGAAACGTTTTTTGAGAAGCATATTTATAATTTTACATGTAAACTGCTCAACAATACTGCGTTTTGATGCCTCAAAAGAAAAAAACGATGGTGAAATTTGAGAACGTCTAACCGGGAACAAATGAAGGAAGCCATGGTTTCGCACAAAGTTTATATGATTATATATCATCTTTTTTCAATTTTGAGCCACATAGATTTGTCAGTGTCACTGCTGAAGTTCCTGGTTTTTATCCTACCGTAACGTATCTTAAATTTGATCACCGACTGTGCATATCAGAATTGGCGATCGATCAACACTAACTGCTATCAAGGCAGAAACAGTTTGCTCTACATTTCGCTTTTGAGTGAGGTTCCATCGTGTATGTGGGTGGAGCAGATAGGACGCAGGCAATTTGTGTCTGGTCGATTGATCGAGCAAGGTTTACAGGACAAGCACAAATGAACCTGGGGAATCAAAGAGCCAGGGCATTATTTCGGGGTTAGATCTGAACCCAAATACTATCCATCAACTGATCTTAAGCAGAGTCAGCTAATGGCCGTCGGTTGACACATGTGGTTGCTTCGTAAAAGTTGATAATTCTGTGAGAAGCCATCATACCGATAGTGTGATTGTGACATAAATCATTGCCTATGTTTTGATAGATCGGGGCCGTGAAAAAGATGTTCAACTGCCTTTTTCATTCAAGTGCAAACTTGGAAAAGGGCCACAGCAACCTCAACATTTGAAGCAAAGACATTTTCCTGCGCGTTCTAAACTGCAGGGGGCAATTCATCAACAAGAGTCAATGTCATACAAGTTAAACACGCAGGAAATACGATGTCCCACTGATTGAAAAGGATTTTGGCAATTGGGTTTCTAAGACACACGTGGCTGATTGAAAAAGCTACCCACGGAGTAGTTGAACGTGATCAACTAATTATAGGATGCATGCTATACCAAATCTAAGGTCGAATTGCTTGTATAGGTTTAGCTATTTCCTTAAGATCCCAGATGAGAACTGACGTTTGTAACATTACGTTGCGCCGTCGTTGGATTGCAAAGTGTGATTTTATATGCTTTGCTTGGTTGTGTAATAATTTGTATAGTGACAGTGATTCACCACCACGCAAAAATGGTGACCAAGAAATACTTTCATGGAATATTTTCTTCAATATTCTAACAATCCACAGCTGCATTGCTGTCACGAGATTAGGACAAACGTTGTCCATCCTAATGTGGATGCTGGCGTCAGTACAGTTCAATGACTTCACAACAGTGGCTGTGAATAGTCGTGTGACTGCGATGAAACCAGTGTTTTTTTTTGTGGCACACACTCTAGCGACGAAGCTATCCACGTCGAACATCTGAATTGATCAAGTAAACTTTGTATACAGGTCCCTATATGACTGAGCAGCTGGTACTGTATCAAGGTGGATATATATGTATATATACGTGTGTGTATAGACAAGCGTATCGACGGACGTGTCAGAAAACCAAAACTGCAGACCCTCAATGACGTGTAAACGTCAATCAACAAGAATGACGAGATTTTGAACCAAGTCTAGTCGTAAAAATATCATATTTATGTGGCACACGATTTTGTCTTAAATCATCTTTTCATTAGCTTGAGGGAGAGGCTGGATGAGCCACCGCATACGACTGGTGACTTAACTGATCTATTGGAAATTGAGCGACCCTTTAAATAGCTTCTTTATGTCATTGCCTAATATTGTATAACAAGGTTTTCATCAGTCGGTCATGATTCATTATTGTTCGTAAACACCGAATTCTCCTCTAAAAGGCTTCAAACTCTCGGAAATCCAAAAAGCCGACCAAGGCGATGAATAAAAACGCTGATTGACGGATATACGCTCTACTTCATATGACTGCGTTGTAGAGTACAAACGCACTTGCTCTTGATACTCTGAACTATTGGTGTTATTGTTGAATGTAAAATCAAATTATTTTTATTGATTGATTTAAGTGAACTTGATCAACCGCTATGGTTAGTTAGCATACAATTTGACTAATAGCTTTAACCAAAGCAGAAAGTTATCTGGCATATACTGAGTCACTCTCTCATCCAATAAAAACCGTAGGTTGTTCCGATAAGGGAGATCTGGAGTTGCCAGGAGTTACCATCAGAACTACTTCTCGTAGATAACTTTATGACAAAGCTGGAGACAGAAATACTTTGTGGAACTACCAGTTGATCTGATAAGTACTTTCCGTACGTTGATGACATCGCTTTTGCCACTGAGATAATGGGATGGCTTTAAACATGCTTGTATCGATCTAACTGTATTCCAGTTCGAGCACCACTTTGGTTATTGCGGTAATCAATGAACAAACCAACATAGATGTCAGAACACTGCACACCCGGTGATTAAATTTGCTATTGAAATGAAATTGAGTTTTATCACAGTAATTTATAATGTTAGTCTTGTCCAATAGTTCTATGGCTTGAATCACATCAAGGTGTATTCGATGGTGACTTGTAAAGTGCAGTTCGCAAACTTTCACATTTTACCATGCGCAGTAGATGTTGACGACTTTTAATCCATAAACCAAAGATGTTGGAAATAGGTGAAAATAAACAAGATAACGGACATCCCGAAAAGAATAACAGAAAAAACTGAACTGAAGGCAATGAGCCAAAAAGACACGTACACCGGTTGAAAATAGAAACCATTTGCTTCAATTGAGAGATTCAGTTAAGTGTTGGGAGCCACATAAAACGTCACCACACAACAAAATAATATTAAACTTCCTTTGTTGATAACATCCGTGGTCATCTCACGATTTAAATGCAGATGTGATTTTACGAACTAGTTTTAATTTCAAGGCAGTTATCAAGACGCTTCAGAGAACCTCATCCCCGTTATCTTCTTCACCATGCGTGTGAGCCAATAATAAGAAGGTGGCTACTAGCCTTCGAATTCAAGCAGAGGCGGTGACGGTTATCACCAAAGTCTCAAGACCTGATTACGCAATGCCAAAATTGGTCCAAGGGCATCAGAATATCTGACCGACAACCCATTGTGTGGCACATGGGCTAAATGAAGACATACATGGGTTGGTCATTAACTAGGTGACTCCCTGATAAAGTTGAATCCTCCATCGTCTCTACCCTCCCTCCGATAGTCACCCGTCAAATTGAATACAAAGGACAGTCTTATTACTGTTTTAAAATGATCGTGATAGCTTCAAAAGTAAAATTACCGAAACAAATGAGTATTCTGAATATGGGCTCAACTACGCTAATTTGGAGATGACGTGCAGCAACAATACGCAGCAGTATGTTCCACTTGTGGGTTTTCTTTAAGAACTTTGCTACATAGATTCCCAAGGTATTACGTTGTCGGTCCTGGATATCATTAGGTTTATCCCACCCGCTGCTTGTGATAAAGATGTCACCGGCAAGAACTGAAATTTACTGATTGATGATTATGATAACATCGATAATATTTAGTTGTGCTCATTGTAACATGCAATTAAAAACAAACGTTTAAATGGTGGTCGACAACGAAATAATTAACAGAACCTTGAGCACATGAAATAAGAAAACGGACTCAAGTAGTAAGCTTGAATTTTTGAAATTCGAGCATATCAGGCACGATAGTACAAGTGATGTGAAAAAGTCCTGGTTTGCTACTTTGTTTTTTTGTCCCTAAACGAGACAGCTCGAAACGAAGTTGATCCTAATCATTCGCACTTTCTGAGCATGACTGAACCGAAATTATTCACTCCTTACTCTTGTGTAATTCTGTTGTTTATTTTCCGCAACGTAATTACAGGGTCACGCCTTTATTTGACTATAAACCATTTCTTCATGAACTCTCGAATTTTATTATTTTTAAGCAGGTGTAGAAAACTTCAAGATATTGTTTACGATATCCTGAGAAGAACCAGTTTACTTTAATTTATTAAGGCCAGTTGTGATCCCCTTTACGCTTGGTTAATTTTAGATTCTACGTGGTCTTTTTTCTTTTTCATTCATATTTTAGTAACCCACCAGGTGACAGATGTTAGTGCTTTAATCCCGAGTGGTGACGAGGTGATCGTTGTGTCAGAATATGACTCACTTGTCTATTTACGGATAATTCGGGCACGGTTGTTTTTAACTTTTTCCTGATCTGTCAATCCTTATTTATCTATAATTCTAAACAAAAGAGCATCCTGATTGCTATTTAAATGGAGCAAAACTGTTCAAAGTTTTATACGGATGATCAGAAATGATTCGAATGTCAAATCAGTCGAATATGTTTGTGACACCGTTTCACAGGAAATCATCGGATGTCCATAAGTTTTAACCTTTTTTCCCAGATTCATTTGCCCTTGTATATCTCACTGAGGTAAAGTTAATTTTCTTTTTTGTGTCTAGACATTTATTGGTCTTTTTTATACCCTACAAAATCTGACTTGGTTTATGCATAGCCATCAACGTACTTGACATTTGTATTGTTCCTGATTTTATTGATAAAGTCTTGCGACGCAAATGTTGTAGGAAGTCGAAGACCAACATAGGTTGGGGAAAACAAATAAAATAAAATAAATACTTCTATTGGACTGAACTCGAAGCAGCAATATACATATATATACATTAAAAACAAACGGATTGTAGAAAATCAGAGCTATTCATTATGTCGATTTTTTCTTCAAACCAATGTGACCAGCTACGATACGGAGTAAAAACAAGAAGACCAGCAGGTGTACTGGGTGATGTGTGCTTGGATAAAAATTGCTGTGTAACTAGCATTGCTTTCAATTTGGTTTCTCTTTTTTTCTGACAATTCCATCCAACAGTATCAACGGTGAAGGAAGCCTCTGGAATAAAGTTCCCTGCCAGATCTGCCCCAGATGGAACTCGGATATCGCATCCCGGATGGCATGTTCTACGGAATCCCTGAGTATTCATGCGATACCAGTCCCTGATTGCTCAGCTATAGCGATCTTCTAGTTCGCCGCTGCTTTCCGGCCTACTTCTCGCATTTTCAACGGATCTGATATAACGTAAATCTCTAATCACGCAGCATACGAGTGCTAGAGCCACAACTTGTATAGCCACGGCTCCACAGATCAAGCCAAGCTGAATCACCATAATACGTTGAATGTACTTCCGTAACGGATCTTCACAACCCTGTTAGCGAGAGGGAAAACAGAAAAAACATGTTTGTTTATTTGTTCAAATGTGACCAACGCAGTTCTCTGAATTTTATCGTCACTGAAATGTCTGTCCCTTAGTGAGAAATCTAAAATATACGAAACTCCAGGGAATTCGACGGTGAAAAAGTACAAACGTCCATGAAAAGAAGAGATATTGGTCCATGAACCAAAGGAAGTTAACCATTTTGCGACTAACTGACATCAATTCGAACATTCGACCTTTCAGTTGAAGGTCAAACAGGTATAATATGAAGCAATATCCTGATCAGCTAATTGTTCATACATTTTTTAACGTATGATCCTTTTGCTGTGAGTTACATCACCCGATAAATATATATATATAGGTATATGTGTCATAAAGTTTCTTTTCGGCTATCTGCAGTTGTCAGAATGCTGATATACTGATAAAAATTACAACAACAGCGTGTGTTTTCATCGGTCCTAGATAGATACATATCATCTGCGTTCTGTCCTTAATACAATGACCTTTTTGATGCTTTATTTAGGCGGTGATATGTGCAAAACACTGCGATGTCTTTTACTCTATTGAAAATGACCACTTCCCAAATGGATCGTTTCACCTCCTCACTTATTGCAAAGTAGTGCGTATTATTTTTTGTCTACTGATGCTGGGAAAAAACGAACGTAAGACATTTTGCGCGTCACGCGTGTCATCGAAATGAAACCGATGATTTATCTTAACCAAGTAGCTATCTTTCGTCGAAATCCTACCCTACAGCAGTGATAACATCACACCACTGTCAGGTCGTTTGTTCTCGCCGGTTGTTTCTAGTCTTTTGCAATTGAAAGCTAACGTCGATGTGTGAAAGACGATCTGAATCACAGTTTGATTTGTTACACTAGCAAATAAATATACTTGTACCCCCTTCCCAAGATAACCGGTTTTACGGATTCAAATAACCAGACACACTTCCATTAATCAAATGTGAGTTGAAAACAAAGTGCAATGAAAATGGTAGTCCCAATGGAATAAGTAAAACGTTTACAAGCTATGAAAGGACCAGCATGCACGTGATGCAGCTTCTGAGGGTGTGAGTATAGGAGCACCATTTTATGGGAAATACCATTTTGGCAAGGCTACGAGCAATTTATAGCTCGTGAATGTCTTGTACTCGGTGCGCACAAGTCCATCAGATAGCTATGCCATCCAGTTGATTATTGTTAGTTGCTCACGTTGTCATCTAAACCAAGGTCAGCACCTAAAATGGTGTACATCTCGAGTTCTTCACATCACATTTGCTTTAATCAGCTAATGTCTTTATACACAACTTCATCCATCTCCACAGCTGACAGAACCTCCGGGTAGAACTCAGTCAAAGAAACAACAAGGAAGGTTTGCAATTTGTAACTAGGCCCACAACAATGGTGCACGCTCAGGTGTAAACTCTGCAAAGAACCACAGATATTGCGAGTCGCATATTTATTTCACTGCTGCGCCAAACAGTTTGCACGCAGTTAATAGTAATCACTTAAGATCGACTAGTGCAGACGCCGACGCAGTGACACTTGCATCGCAAAAATAAATCAAACATCATCACAACAAATTTCGGCTTACCGTTTAAATACCCTTGGTTTTTTCTAGTAAAACATGGTTCAACGTTCACCTTAGTTCATTATAGGTATGAGCATAAATTCGCATGAACTTTAGAATGTTTTTTCATAAAATCACCAAAAGCATCAACAGAATGCGGTTCTGTACTGGCCGACTGAAAAACCGTACATAATGCTACACATTCTGATTGGGCATATCGTTGAACGCTGTTTGTATCAGAGCCTGAATAAATGAGATAGTGAAATTTTAACATCCCCCTTCGAATAGGCGGCTAATACCGGTGATCCGTTCTTCATCTTCTATCGCGCTTGAGATTTCTCATCGAGGGAAGCTTTAAACGGGAGAGGTGCAACATCTGAACTCCGGGATTCAGTTATTCAAAAATTTGCTACACATTCTTCATAAAATCAATAAAATTGTTCTGATCACCTGACCAACTAAGATACGATGAATCATTGTACGAACCAGAATATTGGACGATGTGTGTAGGCAATATACTTACATCTTCGTTCAGTAACTCGCCTGTATAGCAGCTGCTTGGAATTGCCTCACTTTTGTAATCATCCGGTCCGCTGGCTCCGCAGCACTCATACTAGAAAGCGATTTGGGATCACGAATAACTAGGACTGATGGGGAACTAACCGTGATTTGCAAACTGTCCATAATGATTGAATAATATTGGTACTCATGATAACCGTGTGTGTATTTCAAAACGCTTTTTGAAATAGCATTGGAGATCTGATATACTAGAAACAAAAACAAAGGACATGATTAGAGACATTACCATGCAATTCACCGACCGAGAGGGAGTGAGGGTGAGGAATACATGTGGAAGACCTTTCACCCAATAATGAAGATTGCAATTCTTTGTAGCATCTCTAACAAGAAGCCGTATATTTGTCCACTGTCCTTTATATTTTTCCTTTTATTAAAAAGGTAATGATAAGAAAGAAGTATTGACTGCATGTCAAAAGTTCTCAAATATTGCACTCCGAAGCATGCTGTGTCCTTTTGTTTCCGTGAGCAAGCAACACTGTGCCCTTAGTTCATTTTCAATCCAAATAGGCAACTGAATAACGAATGAAATAACAGAGGAACGCAAAAGAGAGACAACACATGGTTCGCATCCATCAATAGTTTGGGCCGTTTGTGGTACTGCCAAAATTTCAACTGATTTTAATTCTCACAGGTTTGCATGTCAAATAATTACGGTCTAAATTATTAAAATTTCCTTTCTAATCAAGTTTCTACGAGTAGCCAAATCGCCAAACTAAACCACAGTACAACAGCGCCCGATGTGCCCTAACCACACTAAACATTTCATCATACAGATTGTTATATAATGCTGCTAATTTAAGGCATCACGCGATTTACAATGCAACGGCCTAAAATGCCGTTGATAGTATTGCACTAAACAATGAATCTCATGTTTGTTTCTTCTCGGAGTGAACAGTTGAAGCCTTATCGAAAATGAATCGGCCACCAAAAGTAACCTTACTGATGTAATCAATTTATCAAAACATTTCTTTCAGGGGAATTCGTGTAACACATGCTGTGTTAGGTGTTTTGCCTTACCCTCAAATATGAGTTGTGTATGAAACAATGAAGACACAGAATGGCCAGAAAAATCTAAAAGTAACTCACGAATACGAATGGGAACTTAAATGTTAGAAAATACTAATAACTGCTCTTCGATATTCATTCTAAACTCTTCTCTTAGCCTCCGGACACCTGAATGACCTAATAGGACAGACTTATGATAATTAAACCCAAGGATCATTCTGATAGATACCAGCCGCAGTTAATATATTTCCAAATCTCCAGAGAGCTTTCACAACCTTGTCCTCGGAATATGTATTGGCGTTATTCATGATGTTTGAAAGGTTGCTTTCTTGTTTTACAGTTATTATTCGCTTTGCTATCTTTTCCATAAAACGAAGACTGGATTTTAATTGACTATTCCGTCTACAGGAGTAGATTTGAAAGAAAGATAAATGATTCCTGCCAAATTGGATATTCAGCTAAAGATTAAAAGTCACAAATTTATAAGACCCAAATACATTTCTGTTTGAAGAAAATCAGTATGGTGATCGTAGCAGATGACAAAACATTTAGCGGGAATACAGGAGTTAAAAGAACAGGCAGAGCAGTGGTAAAAAATAAACTCAGATATAATGGAGCACTTACTTTAGATTGATTTACAGCTCCGGCAATACCGAGTGTAATCAACGCACCGCACAACACCACTATCATGATTGCATACTAGAAAATCATACAAAAGAGACAGATTTTAGTGTTCTTGATTGCACTACTTATTGACGTTTATCATCATCAGGTAAAGTTCCCTCCCCAACCTGAAAACTAAAGAGGTTTTGGACATTATCACTTGTTTGTTGATCTATTATACCAATCAACCTCAGGTGTAATTCACTCAGCGAGATTAATGTAATCCCAACAATATACTCAAATTGCCCTAAATGAGCAACTCTCAACGTACTCGAAAATTTGGTGGCGATGTTCGTCAGATACATGTTAAAGAAAAACTATAATGTGAATTTGGAAAATACTGAACATCAAGCAGTCGGTCCTCTCAGGGATCGAACTCAGCATTCCAAAAACAAAACTAAATTCTACACCATTAGCTGTGAATGATTAGCCACGTTTGAACACATCCGATGAGTCCAAGCTCTGGCAGCCAAATCTTAAATCAGCAAGTTGTGATGCTTAAGACAAATTTGTAAAGGTCGTTTGTGCTATATTCAGCACGGGCAACTTGGGATACGATCTGATCAGCCTCTGTATGATCATTTGTGTGTGCGCACTACTGGTGTTCTTTCTCTATGGTGTAGCTTTTGACCCTCAATCGGGGTAATTGATTCCAACTGCTGCTGTTGAGAACCAACCAAGTAAAAACATCCTTAACACCCTCTCCAGTTTTGCACTTCACGTGTCTTCCTTTTTGTAATTGATGAAATTCATCATGCAAGCAAATTAACGCCTTTTATGCGGTCCGGTGTAACCCTAGATCGAAAACGGGTTCAGAATCGGAAGACACTAAAAAAGCGCTTGAGAACCATTTCTTCAGTCATGTTTTATTACGAGAAATACATCGTAGGCATTCCGCATGCTAACGTGATACTCGCCTGACACATACTATTAAATCTTTGGGAATCACCAATACCTTGCGCTTCGTTGATAACTTGCCTGGTAATGAAATCTCATTATTTTAACAAACATACACCACAAGGTGACACGGTTTGACAGGCTGGTACACCGCTTTCGTTTCAGACCATTCTGATTATGTCAAAGGTGTTTTAGAAAGTAGATCATCCACAATCACTTGTTAGCCTTTTCAGATTAACTGATAAGGCGTGAATACCCATTATTGGAACTCTAAAGGACTGTACTTGGCTCAGGCACTTAATATGCATTCCGACAATATATTATCCATTTCTGACCAATAACAAACACTACAAAGAAACGTACAACGTTGACTATCTGTATGCCACTCATCCCATTCAAATAGAACAGATGCTTACCGTGTAAATATACCGGATTGATTTCAGCGCAACGCTGATGAACCCGAATACACTGATCATGAAAAATAAACATCCTTCGACAATCAGGGCAAGCACAAATTCATTCACCCGCAAGTCATTTTTTGTCGTGTACGTGGTCAGCTGATTCCATGTGAACGATGCACAAGCAACGATACCCAGAGCGAAAGCCTACAATTGTACGATGGGAAAAAAGAAATTACTGTTCAAGCGTTTCTGTGGTCTTTCCGACTGACTTACCATAATGATAAAGTTCACAGCAAACAGAGCATACCGCGTGACGTGGTACGTTCCGGAAAATATTTGTTTGGACATTCCAAGATGAAGGCTGTCTTTTTGTTGCATCAGTTGCCAAGTATATTTCTGAATACTTGTAAAATGTTTGGTGAATATGAGATCAAGTATCTCAATTAAATTATACCAAGAAAAACGTGCACATGATGTTTGAAGATAAACGCATTCATTGGAATAAAAAAACAGTTGTAATACTGAAAAATTGTTTGGAGATTATTGACTCAGATATCTCGGGTAGTGAAGTGCTTAAGTACCAACAATGATTGATGTGCGAAACGCAATATAACAAAGAGGTCTTTTAACTTCTTTTGGTCTTGATTGTATATACAATTGTACAGTCAAGATTCAGGAAGGGAACTGCGGCCATACAAAGGCTGCCTAGGGAAATACAGAAATAGAGAAGACAGGCGGCGGTGGAGCGGTTCGAACCCGGGACTTCCGGGTCACAAGTTGATGAATTGGCCACGACCGCCAATGTAAAACTAAGATAAAACAATTATTCCAAGTACCACCAAAAAATTATGCGGATAGAAGTTGTTTTGTAGTTTAGTGTTACGGTGACAAATTACACGGAAACGTTTTGGATTCGAACTTTGGCGTAAACGCTCTCTACGTAAAATATATGGCGTGGCGGGTGAGCTCAAAGGTACCTCAACAACTTTGACACTGTTTCATGTGGTCAACCACCCAAATGACAGAAGCATGCAAATATATGAAATAAAATCCCAAGAATATCAAACGTCCCCCTAGAAACATGAAATTAATATAATCGGTTGGTATAAAAAGCTTCATGAAAATATGGAACCGAACAAGTCGGAATAACATGCCGACCGAGGTCACAAAACTGGGAAACTCGTTTCGCCCTTGACAGTTTCGGTGGCCAAGCCTTTATGCTGATGGGTTATTGAACATATTTCCTACTGAATAACGTCGGCAATACTTCAGTGATAAGATTTTTGAGGAAGTTCTAGAGATGCATAAATAAAGGACGTAGGAGAAACTCAGGAAACCTTTTTCGGACAAAACTTCGTACTGTATCGAGCTATCAATCCAAAATAGAGAAAGCCAAAAGACTTTCTATGGAGCATGATAGTTCTTTTGTTTATTTTGATACTTACTGTAATTTAAAAAAACCAATTTCAGTTTTATGATAAAAAGTCATTCGAACTTTGGGCGAAATAGAGCATAACATGAAAAGCCCATAATGAAGTGTAGTGGGTTATGATAAACAGATAATAGTCAAGGCCAAAGTCAAAGTGGAGGATTCGGATTGGCAATATTGTGAATTTCTCGTTCTAGCACACGATTATATGGATGCGTAGGGCATAAAATGTATGCAATACTGCACATATGTATACACCGTGTGCCAGAATTAACTTACTCAAAGAGAGATTGGATTGCCCAGACTGAACTGTGCTCACTGTCATAAAAGCGGATATGTTTCTCTGGGGTTCGTTGAGATGCATGCACATGTATATACACGAGTAAAAGCCACACTAGATTAGGTCACGTGATTCGTATGTGCATGCTTCTTCACCAAGTGTTGAATCTATTGTTAATTACTGGTTCGAGCCGTACCTACTTGCTCGTGTGCTACGAATCAATCACACACGGTGTGGATCATTTGAGACAAATTGTAACTGCACTGCCATCTCAAATCAGCTTTTTCAAGTGTCTGTCTTGCACGGCAATCCAACTCGATAATCATTGGGGGAGGTCAAACTGTATGTGAGAGGTGACTGAGTAAAGCACCTACAATAGAATGTGCACCAAATGTTGATATCGTGTCAAAGTTGACAGCATTGCAGAAATCGATGGAAACTTGGTAAATAAATTTCTTGGTTGACAACATTGCCGATCGAATCGCAATTTCGTGCTTCTTTGCCGGTAATGTGGAGATTGGTTTACTCAGTTACAGTCAGTATATCCAAAACAATCTCATGGGAATTTTCTGGCAATGAGCTTTACTGTTTTCGTAAGCCCATGTTCGAGAAAGAGTCGTAAACTATGCAGACTCAGTGCACGGGTGTTGACGAAATTTTGCTGCTAATGAAAATAACTGTGTTGATGCATATAATTTATCACGTAAACTGACATGTACCGGATTGACGTCCGATGATAGAGTGACTCGCAGATACCGAAACCCCGAATTCGCGTCAGATCACAAGCCTGGAAAATCTACGTGTAGTGCATAACGACTCATGAATCAATGGAAATACAACAACATACCTCAAATTAGGGGCAACCCGGTCTGGGCAGGACTATCGGTTCAATACGACAACAGCAAACGTGCCAGGAAAGCACTCTCTTGGAAATCAGGGGAGCAGTGTGATACGGATGTAGGGGCAGTGCTATTTGAAGGGCGGTGAGGACCAATCACAGAGATAGAAAAGCGAAGTGACATCAAAGTCGGGGCGGGGGGGGGGCGACAGACGAAACCATAATCACCGTGTAATTGAGAGAATAGACAACGAATACGAAGAAGGTGTCTGGGACGGTTAAACACACAGGGGCGAGCGGTAGCACGTGGGTCAAGAAACAACTGGGTGTGAAATGGGATGAACGGTGAAGACGGTAGGGTAAACATAGCGGGTGGGTGATGAAATGGTGACCACAATAACAAGCGGCAGTTTCTATGACGGATCGAGATAGTTGAAAACGATAATGAATTAAGCGCAGAACGAGTTACGACAGTTACTACGACAAAGTTCCATGAGGGGTGGCAATATTATAATACGAGAATAGGACGACAGTTACCACGACTCAGTTTCCATGTGGGGTGGAGATAAAAGATTACAGTAACAAGTTGGACGAAGTAAGGGTCACGACAGTCAGTACCAAACGGTTTCCATGTGGAGTGTAGATAATATATCGCGATAACAGGCCGGACGAAGAACGGGTTGCGATGATTAATACCGGGAGTTGGTATGTGGGGCGGTTACGTAATCACAAGGGAATTACGGAAAAGTACAAACAAACTGTTCATGGAGGGGGAACGTAGCAAGTTCCGATCCGGTTGGCATGGACCAATAAACTGGGAGTTGTTTAGAGCCAAACATGAATTCTTGGGTTGTGAACCGAGTAAAGGTAGGTACGGCGTACGTAATTTCAAATCATACAAAAAAGCGTCTTACATGACCTATAAGCGGACCGTTTCAGAGGCAGTCCTCCAGTGAGCTGTTTCAGAAGGATAGACGAGTATCATCAACTACGCTTTTGAAAAGACCGAAAACATTTTCATTAACTTCATTTTCACTTTCACCTAGTAGACATGAAAGATTAACACCTCACTCATACAAATCACAACTCCTCCCCATCTGATCCACAGCGGAGGCAAGACATATTCGCTTTGCACGCCAATTGTTCAACGTTGATCAGTGTAGGTTCTATAGGCCGGAAGGACTTGAGATTGTCTCCGAATTGTGGTGAAGCCTCATTGATTGCTCCAAAATAACTGGGATTCATCAAATATGTGCTTTAACCATTTTGAAACAGACTTGTTCACACGGCTGCGATCGGGTCACAGTTGGCCGCTTATCGAGAACATTATCAATAACGCAATAACTGATCAGGGAATAAAATCCAAGAACTATGCTCAAACACTGCAAAAACTAGTACAACCGAACTCACTTAGGCATGATTCTCTTATATCAAACACTGCATCTACATGAACATTCGTGTAGCACTCTGCTTATACTGTTCACAAATGAGGCTTTCAAACTACACCTCTTAACACTACAGAAGAATGAAAACGCTGCTTTTGTTGTCCTTCAAACGGTGGAGTATATACTACTAACCTTAGTACCACTTGTGCTATTTGGAACTCACTTATATTCCAAGTTCTTTTTGATTAACCGGCCAATTTGTTCCAGTTGACAAACCATTTAATTCTTTAACTTTTCATTATTCGTGATATTTATCCTTCTGTTTCACCATCATCCAAACTCACTATGTCGAGATCCTGTTGGAGTTACGAAGATTAAGTTGTTTACCTTTTTTCATGATGAACTTTCACTGTTACTGCAGAATGAGTGTCGAATTGGTTCACTCACATCACCACTGCATTTCAGTCACACATCTGCTCTGTTTTTGAGCTTATAGACTTAAGCGCATTAGTAAGCTATTTGTAAAAACAGAGAACCGATGGAAATGCCTTGTCTAACTATCACAAATAACCACACCGGAATCGATGATGCCCACAGTGACCAATTTCGCGCTATGGTAATCTAAACTAGAACAGGAAAGCCTTCACTATGCATTTTCCAAGTCAAGTTGCCCATTATCATTTCAAGATGTCCTCGTATCATTTCACGATGTCCTTGGATCATTTTGAGCTGCCGTATTGGCCTCGCCGGTGCTGACAAGCCACCCAGCGATGTCTGGATGACCACTATGCAGCACTGATTTCTCTACCTCCCGTTGAAGTGCGGGGGACAATTGTGAGACGGGCTTTGGTCACACACGCCTCAATTCCCATGATATACATAACGGTTATTTATCTTGCTAATACGCTGTTCACACGGTTTTCTGATTTCCTAAAACTTACTAACTAATCGAACATTTTCATAATTTCTGATTGGTGTTGGCTTTATTAATCTATCGTAGGAACGACCACGGTGGTGTTCCCATGGTGAACCTGAATAGAGAAATGCTACAATGGCAATAAGATAGTTCGAAGACATTTTGCAAGTATTACTTGCGAATGCAATACATTAACCTAAATTCACCCGGTTCATTTGGTATGGTGGAGGTGTTCAAGTAATACTATATGATTTCAGCGATAAAGATTATTGATTTCAGAGCCCTAACCCAGGAAAGTGTATTTTGGAAACATTCTAATTTTTAAATTGGCATTTTCTAATAAAACTCCGTAACTGTCATGGAAATTATGGCTTCTTTCAACAGCCCTTATCACGTTATTTCTATTGCAGTTGATTTGATAGACATTTCTCATTCCGTTCCGAAAATATGGCCAAAATGATCATTTTGATTGTTCGTACTTGAAGGTCCTTCTGTGGTGG